TATATGAATGATGGAATTGTAGATGCCAATTCACAGTTCCTCTCAGCGAGGGAGATAGCTCAGTAGAGTAAGTGCCTGCCTGTCAAGTGTAGGGTCCTGAGTTCAATCCTCAGTACTGAAAAAAAAGATTAAAAAAAAAATACCTACCTGATTCAGCATCAGAGTCCATTCTGAGACAAGGCTCACACTGCTGCACCTGGCGTCATATTTTTAAAATAGTCTGTAATTCCAGTTTTGTTTTCCTTCATCCAAAAGTGATTTAGTACAGTCATTAAATTTCCAAGTTTGCAGAACAATTTATGACAGTTTAAGAGTATTCAAAAGCACAGTTTATATCCAAAATTAGCACATGAAGAAACTATTTCATGTAGCTTGGAACCATGAAGTGAGCCAGGCAGTTTAAGACTCTTCTAGTCAACTCATATATTCCCCACTATATAATTTACATAATGAAACTGGACCCTGTGTCTGGAAGGGGTTTAACTATTGAAGACTTCACACATTGATTCATTCATTCATTCATTCATTCATTCATTTATTCAGCATATTCCATACATGTCACTCCTAAAGCTGCTTTGGTAATTTTACAGATAGGTAAGGATTTCACAGCTGCCTTTTGACTTTGTAGTATCCTGAGGAAGTTTGCGAAGGCATGTTGCCTTAGTTACTTTTCTCATTGCTGACAAAATATCCAAAAACCGAAGTTAAAGATGGAAAAAGCTTATTTCAGCTATTAATTTGTAGAGGTTTCAGTCAATAGTCATCTGGTTCCAAAGCAGCGTGACATGGCAGAGAGACATCACAGAGGAGAAATAGTCTATTTCAGGACAAGCAGGCAACAGTAACAGCAGCAATAGCAGCAGCAGCAGCAGCAGCAGCAGACAACAGTAGCTATCCTCTCTCTGTCCATTATATTCCACCCAGGTTACCCACCTGGGATGGGAGCACTCACATCCAAAGAGGGATAACTTTAATCCCAAAATCATAAACTTAATCCCAGTATCACACACTTAATCTCAGCACCACACACCCAAATTCAGCCACCTCAAGAAAAACTCCATCTATAACCATATGAAGCTTTGGGGTGACATCTAGATAACAAGCCATAACTCATGTGCATGTAAGATTATTTGATAAGCAGAAGATAATTGATGTCAGTAAACTGGCAGGCAAAAAGTCCATTGGAAACTCAGAAGAAAACAGTGACTAAGATGTGGCATGAGACTTCTAATATTTTCATTCATTCTTATTCCAGATTTCTGGAAAGCCCAAGACATACATGTCGAGTGCCATACATCGACTACATGGATGAAATTGCTTCTGAGCTAGGCGTAAAACCCAATCTGTTCTCTCTCTTCTTCTGGGATGCAAAGCTGGCCAAGGAGGTTTTCTATGGGCCCTGTACTCCATACCAGTACCGTCTACAGGGGCCTGGGCAATGGAGCGGGGCCCGGAATGCCATCCTTACCCAGAGAGACCGGATCCTCAAACCCCTGAGGACACGTGTGCTCACACCCTCTGGGTCTCCTTCCTCTAGGCTGTTCTGGGTCAAGTGTATCTCTACTGTCATTTGTCTCTCTGTTCCCATGTTATTCATCACCCAATTGATACATCAGTAAGCTCACTTTGATGTGGATGTTTATGCAAATAAAGAAGAAAAGGTTGCTGCTATTTGAATTATATCAAAATGAAGAAAATTGATTATAGGGGAAAAGCTGTTGATTAAATTGACTAGCTGACATATGGACATTTTATGAAAGCAAAATTAATAATGATTTTCCTAAATGCTTTATAAAGGGGAGAGTTGAAAATAACACAGATTGTTTTCACTGTACTTCACAAGTAATTTGAAATGTTTTACAACATGCGATAATGGAGAGTAATTAGAAGTAGTGCTCAATAATAAACACATGTACAAGGAAATTTAAACCAGGTATAAGCTTCAAAACATCATCTTATGGTCTTAAATTATCCCCACACAGATGTCATATCTCTTATAAAGGAGAAAATTTGAATCATCACTTTAACTGATCAAACTATTAGAAAGTCAATAAGAAAGTTAGCAACTCCTAATATGATATAAGAAGTCCAATGTTGCCTATCTAATTGTATTGCAAAAAAATGCTTAATTTAAATATAATTAGAAAAACAATTAGAAAAAAGTTTAAAAGTGCATAGACCATGCTTGTATTCTAAAAAATAGCCAGAATAATTAGAAGAGCTAAAAAGACCATGAAAATCATTCTATAGTAATAATAAATAAAAAAGCAAAATGACCAAAAGTAATGTTTATAAACATAGATTGAGAGTTTTAGGATGAGCTGGTAAGTTTGAACATGCATTGTATATTAGATCATCATGTTTAATTAATGATAATATTATCTGCTATAATAAGGGTATGATAGTTATATAGTAAAACATCACTATTTTTAGAAGACATACACAGAAGTAGAATAAAGTGTTATAATATCTACAATTTATTTTCAAATTATGTGGAGAAAAGTAGTGCCTGTACAAGAGAAAAAAATTAAAGAGACATAACATTAACAACTGATGCTTCTGGGTAAAGCATATGTTCTATTTTTTAATTTTTTGTTCATATGAGAATTTCAAAATAAAATTTTAGGAAATAAACATTTTCTACAATGATTCATATTTGTATTCATCCTTGCTCTATTATTTTGAGTTTAATATTTTTATTAAATAAACCAAAAGGGAAACTCATGTTAAAAAATAGGACTGATGAGATTTTTTTTAAAAAAAGTAAATTGCTAAGGATAATTATAACCATGGTAGGTATGACAATAAAGAAAGGGCTTCTTCAGGGAATTTGTATAAGAGAGGACACTATACTAAACAAAAATATCTTCCAAGATATAATTAGCTGAATTGTAATAGACTCTAAATCTGCAGGTGCACATTCATTGCAATCTGTTTTCCCATTTTTACTAGAAATTATTATTAGGAAATGTTTTAGAATTATCGATCTTGTAGCTTAAGAATAATCTTTTAAAACATCATTTCTAAAATCAAAAATGTGCATAAACATTTTTAAAATACTTGAAACTTTGGCTTCTGGCTTGGTCAGAAGAAACCAGGTACCTGATCCAGGCCCTACTCTATAGGAAGGGAACCAGTGCAGGAAGTGCCTGGGACTCTCAGCAACCAGCTAGCTTGGCCAGAGGAAAGCAGGTACCTGGTTTCTTTCCAAGAGAAAATAAATCATAAAAATAATCAAGAAAATTGCTGAGTATATTTAAAGAAGACAGAAAAAATGCAATCATGTAGAAAAATGACAGTAAACTTTCAATGAATAATATAGGAAAGAATTAGAATGGGTGAAATAGATTCAAGAAGATATTCCATCTTAATGGAATTAAAAATTCCACTGAAAGCTGGCAAAACCATTTCAACAAAACTAAAGATAGATTTTCAGACCTTGAAGACATCATTGCAGCTAGAAACCATGAAAAGAGAGATCTCTTTAAAATAACAAAGGATGATCACAGAAGACAGGCTGAGCCCTGGACAGCTGTGGGGGCCTTGATGAGCACTGCCCAGCACCCCACCACCACCACCAAGGAGCCTCACTGACATGCTGGCCCAGGCCCACTCTTTCCATTCCCAGGAACCAGAATGAGGTCCAGAGAGCTTCAAGGCCCTCCCTGACCTGTGCCTTGCTCACTACCCTCCCAGGAGCAGTGCTGATCTCCAAATAACTTAGGAGGCTTCCAAAACATGAAAACAAATAAGCAAAAGGCAATTTCAGACCTCCAGCCCACCTAGAACAAGTCCAGGAGACAAAGGCATAAAGGAACTTGGAAACCACAAACCTGAAATTTCTGAAATGTTAGCAACTGAAGGAAAGAAACAGTTCCATCAGGCTATAAAACAAAAAATCAGTTCACAAATAAAATGATGGAAACATTGCATGAACAATACAGGAAAGAATTAGAATTCAAAGACATATCCAGAAAATTAAGAATCACATTGAAAGCTGGTTAAACCACTTAAACAAAACTAAACACAGACATTCAGACCTTGAAGACAGCATTGCAGCTAGTGATCATACAAAGAAAGGTCTCTTAAAAATAACCAGAAACCAGGAAATAACAATTAAACAGCTGCAAGATAATGCAAAGAGAAGCAATAGAATATTGATAGGAGTTAAAGAAACAGCAAGACACAACACAAATGACATAATGAGACTATTTACAGAAGTAGTAGCAAAAAAATTTTCTAACCATGGAAAAAGAATTGGACATAACAAATAAATAAGGTGTAATAGAACTCTAATGAGCCATAATCAAAATATATCTACATGCAGACACATAATAATCAAGATCCTAGAAATTCAGCAAAAGAACAGAATAGGCCCTGAGGGCCTTCTAAAGCTGTTGGAAGAAACAGATCACCTATCATAGAAAACCCATCAGAATCAGCAGATTTCTCAACACAAACCATAAAGTCAAGAAGAGCTTAAAGTGAAGAATGTCAGGTCATGAAAGAAACCAACTTCCAACCCAGATTGATGTACCCTGCAAAACTCTCTATGGAGAAATAAGATGTTTCATGGTAAAGAACAACTGAAGAAATTTATGACCACTAAGCCAACTCTACAAAGAATATGTAAATATGTTATAGAAAGAGACAAAAATGACCACTACTTCAAGAACAACGTCATAAAAGGACAACCAAGCAGGGCAATCAGTTAAACAGAGAGGAAAAGTAGGGAACCTACAGCAAGAAAATAACATGACAAAGATAAACCAATACATATCAGTTATAACCGTCAATGTAAACAGCCTCAACTCACCAATCAAAAGAAGCAGACTGGCAAAGTGGATCAAGAAACAAAATCCAACAATATGTCATATACAAGAAACACATTTAGTGGGTG